ATGAAATTAAATAAAAAAGTCAAAAGGGCATTAGCTTATCTTACCTGTTCTCGCGGAATCCTTGGGGACATTTTGTGGAACCTTAGGGTTCCGGGGGGACCCCAGTTGAGAAACGTTGCGCTAGATGTTCTCATCGATCAGAATTTCATCTAAAATACAGATTAGATTATTCTAGAAGCCATCTAAAAGATGGCAATAAATATTGGAACACATGAATTGTCTGGTCACATGAACTTCCGTCATGTATGGAGGAAAGTGAATGAAGCTCACAAACCAAAAGATATCCTCCTTACAATTAAGCACGGTGATGGGAGCATTCTCCTCTGGGGATGTTTTGCTACTTCTGGACCAGGAGAGCGAGTGAATGGAGAAAGAGCAATATTTAACTATCCTTAAAAATAATATATAACAAAGTGCACGAAAGTTGTTTTGAGGCGTTACTGGACGTTTCACGATAACATTGACACGAAACACATAGCACAAATTGTTACAAAATAATTAGATGATAGCAAAATTAAGGTAATGATGTACTCTGTACAAAGAAATGACCTAAACATTATTGAAAATTTAATGGCATATGTGAAGAAAAAATTAAGAAAGAAAAGTCCTTTGAATTTGGAGGAACGAGAAACTAATGCAAAGAAAGAATGGGACAAATGTCAGTGTGTGTAGTTATCTTAAAAGCAACTATTAAAAATGATTAAAGGCAATAATTAATAATAAAAGTTACAGAATTAATTATTGTGGCAAGAAGGCCAATAATTTTGTCCTGTGTTAGATTTTTTTGATGTTTTTTTTTTTTTTGTATTATTGTTTGACGTTTGTTGTGGACCTCACTTCACATTTTTTAAATCTATTATTTTATCATTTACGAAAAAATGCATAAGTTTTTCATGCAAATTTGAGGTATTTATTTGTTCTTATGGAATCGGGAGTGAATAATTCTGTCCAAAATTGTGTGTAACTGTATGATAATTCTAGTTTGTGTATATGGGATTCAGATGATAATGTATATTCGTAAGTGTGTGTATGTCAAGTAAACTTTACGGTTTTTTTCTTGTTTTTTCGCATGGTGATTTGGGATCGTTTTTACGGCCATACTGTTTCCTGTAGATAAATATACATTAGATCCTTTAAGAATGGATTCAATAAAAGTTCAGCAATTGAAAGAACATTTTTTTACGTTGGAAGTACTTCGAGGGCCTAGCAATAACAACTATAAACACACTTTAAACTCATTACACCACCAACCTTTATTGAATCCATTGATAAACGTTTCCTGCTTGTTCTTTATCTTAACATATATATATATATATATATATATATATATATATATATATATATGATATGAAAAAATAATTTTACATACTGTAAGGAATTCTAATACATTTACTTGTTTTAAAAAGAAATATAGTCTCTTAAAAATTAAAAGTGAAAATATTTTAAAATTGTAGTTAAATAAAACGTATTCTAACCTAAATATCCCCAAAAAATCTTTATACAAATAGAAAAAATGCCGTAAGAAATTTTGCCGTTAAAAATAAAGTTTTAAAAAAATCCAGACGACATGCATTTAACGGATATCAGAATTCATTGAAAAATACACCCCTACCCCTACCTAAACATAACCCCTTTTTCAAACGTAACTAATAACTAATACAACAAAAGTTAATGAAAATGAACACACAACCACCCCTTGTCTGGATGAATGGATTTCTCTGTATCCTTGGAAACAGTAAATAATAATATTTTGCCGTGCCTTTAAAACCCAGTAAATTTTAAAATAAGTTACTCCAAAATTCGCTTGAGGATGAAATGGAACTAATGGCTTTAAGTTAATTACAAAATTAAATTCGTAGCTTTTAGCTTCCATTTTTGAAACATGGTTAGAAATGTGTAGCGAAAAACCATATTTTAATTAATAATTAATGCTCTGTAAATTTACATTGAGCACTATTTTGTAAAAATAAAAATATCTATAAGAACTACGGATTATATATCTTACTGTTCTTTCTTTTATATATATATATATATATATATATATATAGGTTTCATTAGAAACGACTGACAATGTACTGTTCTAAATTTTTTTATTTAATTTTTCTTGTGTTCTTATAATTTTCTTCTTTTCTGAACATAAATTATGTAGAAATTCTCCAAATGCTCTGTAAGTTTAAGCGCTTTCAGCTATACTTTTAGCTGTTATTAAGGATGGTTTTATTTTTGCTTGTAACTGAATATATGGATAGATTTATGTATTTATCTAGAGTTATATGATTGTTTTATTTTCCAAACACGGTCAGCATATTTAGGCCATGTTCATAATTGATAATATTGAGTGTTGGTTTTCTCTTTTTAAGCCACAATGTACAAAGTCAAACTATACTCATATGTTACTGCAATCCGCGACTAGGCCACTTTCCTTGGTTGGAGATAATTCTAGATGGTCACCTCCAGCCACAATCATTAGAGTTTCGTTGCCGGCTGGCGCACAGTCCACAATATATAAAATTTCTCTACAATTTCACGAATTAAATATTCCAACCATTTGGCAGCCTCTATAATTTTCCGTCGAACTCCGATAATGTACGTAGCCTCGTCATGGACAGCCTGGCTAATATTCACCATGACCCACCAGATATCAGAACACAACCGATATAGAGCTTAGCATTTCCTTGACATCAAGGTACAGTGGCACCACCTGCCATTACCTTTGCATATTGCACTCCCATGACTTTGGCACGTCAGTGTATGTATATATATATTTGATTCGAAATGCCAATGGCCTGAAGAGTGAGCGTACAACGGCCAAAACGTTGTGAATATAACAGAGAAGATGAGGATAACAGTCCGAACAATGAAAACAATGAAAATAATGTAATATATATATATATATATATATATATCATATATATATATATATATATATATATATATACTATAGTAGAGCCCGGCGTTGCCCGGGGATGTAACAGTAAGAGATAGATCAAGTATCGACCATCATAAAGACTGAAAAATAAAATTGACAAAGATTATTGTTTAAGGTTGACGGACACGCATGTTTTTTTTTTTTTTTTTACGAATTGGTCAAACCCAAACCCAAACAAAAACTTTGTTTTCAATCGTTATGAGTCTCTACCGATTGTATAGAATTTTATTATAAATAATTGTCTTGTAAATGGAATTTTTAAAGCATTCTGAATATAAAAATAAAGAAAAAAGCGTGCAAGAGAATAAGAAATACTACCTGCGAAAAAAAAAAAAAGTGAAGTTTTCTTTTATCGGCTGAAAAATATAGGAAATCCGCTCCCATATTTAAAGGAACCCCCACACACACACAAACAACCCGATGTGAGTTGTCCCCCTTCCATTTTCACGATGTCTCTTAATCGTATTTTCAAAGTGATTTTGTGCAAAAACAATTCTATTTTTCCCATTTTTGGCGCTGTTAGAACCACCACAAGGTAATTTTATGTAGTCCTGTGAAGTTTTGTTGAAATCGGTTGAAAAATGTAGGAAATCCGATCCAATATATAAACGTTACAGACACACACACACACACACACACACACACACAATCTGCGTTTTATAATAATTAATATATATATATATATATATGAGATGAGGTATTATGAATACTTACATTATTTTCATGTGTATATATATGTGTGAGTGTGTGTGTGTGTGTGTGTGTGTGTGTGTGTGTGTGTGTGCCTGTATTTAGCCAGCAATCCTTCTTTCATGCACATTTCATTGAATACAACAGACATGGTGCTTTTATTTAGTTTTTTATACAATTTCTCATGCGATCTAATAATATTTCTTTTTTCTTTTCGGATGATAAATTATATAAAAACTGTCCGAACTTTCCTTTTATCCGAGCACTTTCGGCTATACATTTAGCCATTTTCAAGGATTAAATATTTTAACTGTTAAATAAGAAATATTTTGTTGTATGTATGTTTTATAAAATATTTTCATTTTCCAAAACACGGTCAAAATATTGTGCCCATGTTCAAAGTTAATATTATTAAGTGTTGTTTTTTTTTGTTTTTATTAATAAGGCTTCCATTATTTTTAGCCTTTTTTGCATGTAGATGATGCTATTATATTAGTTTTGTCAACATGTATGTTACGAATAGGGACCGGTAGGTCTCCATGAATATTTAAAGGAGATCAATTGAGCTATGGTCAGAAATGTGTAGAGTGAGTCTGCATGTCAAATATGTTGTAGTGTGGCCTATATAATTATTTACGAATTTTGATTGATCAGGAATACAATTCCTTAATGGGTATTTAAAATCGTAAATAATATTTGCCCTATATATATATATATATATATATATATATTAATGACATTTTTATGTTTAACGTTCTTTTTTATAGATACAAGTATTTAAGTAAATGCTCTGTTTATAATAAACAGTATTAAATAACATTTACCGGCCTGAATGTCCGAGAAATTTTCATAGAAAATATTCGTCCTTTCACAGGATTCGAACCTGCATCCTATACGGAACCGTCATTTACGCTGACGTGCCTTAACCGACTCGGCCACAAAGTAGGCAAGGTCGAATTTACTGCTTATAAACTTGCCTACCGAACGCTCCTTTTACTTAAATACTTGTATCTATAAAAAGAACGTTAAACATAAAAATGTTTTTAATAAATAAATTGTCGGACTTTGTCCATTTCTTATATATATATATATATATATATATATATATATATATATATATATATATATATATATATATATATATATATATATATATATAATTGTTAAGCGTTGCATGGAATCTCCAACTGATGTTCTGGATTTTTCTAAGGAGATTTGTATATGTTCCATTTAGTCTTCTTTCAAGATCTAAGTTTCTGGTCTATACAGTAGGACTGGTTCTATCAATGTTCGAAATGTTTGGTCTTTTAAGGAGGATGGAAGGTTCGAGCGCCAAATCTTGTGAAGTTTGTTATATGCCCGCCATTAATCCTTTGTCATAATGGCCTCGGTGTCCATCTTAAACTGTACACGGAGCGGCATTACTTCTCTCGCTTTTAACTTCACTTTCAGTACCCTCTTTCTGTATTCTTCTTTCTTGTCAATGTTCTCTTTCATAAAGTTACCGGATTTCGCCACTAACCTGAGGATTGTCTCCTCGCTGTTTACTAGTTGCAATCCAACGAACTTTGCTCCCAGGATGCACATTCATAAATGCAGATACGTGCTCTACCCTCTTCTTTTCGTGGTGGGTACAACCTTATCACATTTGCCTTTTAATACAGGGTATCATTCACAAACACCAGTGTTCGAATCTTTATTATTATTATTTGACTTGATATCAAATCTATCTATCTATCTATCTATCTATCTATCTATCTATCTATCTATCTATCTATCTAATAATAATAATAATAAAAGTCTGTGAATCTTCTTTGGTCTATCTAATAATGAATCTATCTATCATTATCTATCTATCTATCTCCAATAATAATACCTCCCTCTTTCCACTCTCCACCTATCTTTCCACTTCTCTTTGGTGCTTTTCCAGTCGGGGAGCTTTCCAATAATGAATTGCCTCTCTCTCCTTTCTTCCCTCCCTCTTTCCACCTCTTTCCTTCTCTCTCTCTCTTCCACCCTTTCTCTTTCCACCTCTCTTTCTTTCTTTCTCTTTTCCCATCTCCTCTTCCCCTTTATCTTTCCACCACTCTCTCTTTCTCCACCTCTCTCTTTCCACTTCTCTCTCTTTTCCATCTCTCTCTTTCCATCTCTCTCTTTCCATCTCCCTCTCTCTTTCCACCTCTCTCTTTCCGCCTCTCTCTTTCCACCTCTCTCTTTCCACCACTCTCTCTTTCCACCTCTCTCTCTCTCTCTCTCTCTCTCTCTCTCTCTCTCTTTCCACCTCTCTCTCTTTCCACCTCTCTTTTCCCATCTCTCTCTTTCCCCCTTTATCTTTCCACCATTCTCTCTTTCCACCTCTCTCTCTCTTTCCACTTGTCTCTCTTTCCATCTCTCTCTCCACATCCTCTCTCTTCCACCTCTCTCTTTCCCCCTTTATCTTTCCCCCACTCTCTCTTTCCACCTCTCTCTCTTTCCACCACTCTCTCTTTCCACCTCTCTCTCTTTCCATCTCTCTTTTTTCCATCTCTCTGATTGCGTGCGTTCTTATTTAAATTTCAGCTTTCTTTAAATAAACAATATTTTAGATGTTAAAAAATATTTTTTGATATATTTAAAAATATTTTCAGGTGAATATGATTTTAAAATATTTTTGGCATATTAAAAAAATATTTTTAAGTTAATCTGATTTTTAAAAAAAGTATTTTAAGGGATTAAGATTTTAAAATACGTGTTGCTTATACAGTATTTTTATTTCAACTTCGAACGCAATTTAATTCAAAGTTTTATAACCTTAACAATCAAAGATCGAACAGATCACGTGTGGTCTAGTATAATACTAAAAATCTGTGACTCGTGCTTGCGTGGGACGTCGTCCGTCCGGCGCATAATAATGATTTAATTTTCTCTCCACATATATCTTTCTCTGTCATATCTTTTTATCTCTCTTTCCATCTCTTTCTCTCTCTTTCCACCTCTCTGTGATTTCGTGTGTGCTTGCGTGGTATGTCCGTAGATCCGTCCGGCCGGCGTATAATGATTTAAGTCAATCTGATTTAAGTAAATAAAATTTAAAAATACGAGCTGTTTATACTGTATTTTTTTATTTCAGCTTTCTACAGACAGTTTTTTTAATGTTGAAATCAACTCCAATGTTTTAAAACCTGAACCGTCAGTGATCCAACGGGTCACGGGCAGTCTAGTATATCATAATTCTGTCTGTCCCTCCCTTAGTTAGTACGACCGTTACGCCTTGTCAATAAATAATTGATTATTCCGTCTTGATAGGATGGAAAAGCGGAAACGACATATCAGATGCGCCACTTAGTTTCAGTGAGAAAAAGAAAGAAAGAAAGAAAGAAAGAAAGAAAGAAAGAAAGAAAGAAGTGTTTACCGTCTGTTTCAGGGAAATGGAAAAATTGTCAATTTCAAATCTTTTCATTTGTACCCCCTTACTTCTTAAAGTAACGACCAGCATTCATATTTATGATTGTTACTGCAATATTCTGTTAAAGTTGCTGAGCTCAATTATTTATTGATGCAATGGGCGGATTTCTACGGATATTTCATTGTCGTAGAATTCGTCATAAGATTATTCAATAATTAACTGAAGAATTCTTCAGAGAATTAAAATAGGAAAAGCGTGAAAATATTTGTATTAATTATTGTTATTTCTTTTGATTTCTGTTGTATACACATTCCCTTCCGGGTCCCAACCAGTGACCTAAGGTCAGAAATGGCATAATGACATTTTTCACTGATCATTTTTGTCAAAATAGATAAAACCCTTCGTAATATGTGAACTGTACTTGTGAGTCCTATTTTTGTATTTCTTTACGGCATGGACTACCAAGAATCCCTTCAATAAGTCTATAGGAACCTTTTCCAATCTCAAACCATTGGAATTATTGATGTCCTCATGTGCCACATATTATTATTATTATTATTTTGCTAGGAACCTTTCCCAACCAGAGACCTAAGGTCAGAAATGGCATCATGACATTTTATACTGAAGATTTTAATAAAAATATAAAAACAAAACTCAAGTTCAAAACATGTTAATAGATAAAGCCCTTCTTAATGTGTAAGTTTATTTGAAAACAGGGTTTCTTTTTAGTATTTCTTTAAGGCATGGACTACCAAGAATCCCTTCAATAAGTCTATAGGAACCTTTTCCAATCAATCCGAGGGCTCCAACTACAATTGGAATTATTGATGTCCTCATGTGCCACATATTATTATTATTATTATTATTATTATTTTGCTAGTTTTTTGTTATATACTCATTTCCTTCCGGGTCCCAACCAGAGACCTAAGGTCAGAAATGGCATCATGACATTTTATACTGAAGATTTTAATAAAAATATAAAAACAAAACAACCCAAGTTCAAACACATGTGATATAGATAAAGCCCTTTCTTAATGTGTAAGTTGTACTCGTGAAAACAGGGTTTTTATTTTTGTATTTCTTTAAGGCATGGACTGTCAGGAAACCCTTTCAATGAATCTATCAGCACCTTTTCCAACCAACCCGAGGACTCCAACCCTAATTGCAATTACTGACGTCTTTATGTGCCACATTTTTTAGATTCTGATTTCAAAGTCCTTGTATTTTTATAGATTTTTTTTTTTTTGAAGATCTTCAAAGAAGGAACTGCAGGAACTGCCATGTCAATTGTTATTATTATTATAATTATTTCCTTGTAGATTACCATTATGAAATCGGCGTTGCTCGGCGTCTTGATTATTGCGTGGGTCAGCATTCAAGTTGCGTACAGTTGTTGGTGGCAGTTTGAGCCGGGGATGACGTGGCAATGGCAATTAACCGGCAAACTGAACCTCTCATACGACGTTGAAATGTATGACGTGGATTTATTTGACACAACGCAAGAAGAACTGGATAACCTCAGAAAGTAAGTCTATAAAAATATTTATTGATTTGTCCTATTTTCTTACACGAAGCGCTATCATTTCTCTTACAAGATTCTCTTGATTTTTTTCGTATTTAAACGTTTTATTGTGGTCGTTCTTTATCTACAGTTTCGCTTTCCGCGGTTTTAATTATCCGCGGTCATCCGCAGAAGTAATTTTATGGTCCCAAAGTGCAAATTCAGATAGGTCAGATTAGTCTCTTCTTATCACTTCCAGCGATTTTACTTAACCATGGTCAACCCAAGAAATAAGTCATACAGTCAACGACGACATTATTCGTACACCCATCAATTTTGAATAGTTTTATCCATTTCTCAGAATCTAATGCCCGGATGATGCCACGGCATTTCGATGTTAATGAGCACAAAAAAAAGAAGGAATATAAAACTCAATTTTCAGAATAATAGGTTAAATACAACAAATTCGACAGGCGAATTATGCAAAATAGGAAAAAACAAAATTTTTCGTAAAGTATGAAAAATAGAAAAAAATTGAATCATTTTCACAATATTAATAGTCAGTAGCATGGCCTTTCATCTTTATAACTTGCTGAAATCATTTTCTAAAATTTTTCAGAAGATTTGAACAAGTCTTTTTGGGATTTTCTTCCATTCTTCAATGTTTATACGTTCTAATTCCTGAAGTTTTTTGGTGACCGATGATTTATTCGAACTTTCAATTCTTGCCATAGATTTTCAATAGGATTCAAGTCAGAACTCATTGAAGGCTATGGCAGAACCTTAATCATTTTCTGAAGCCACGCAGTCACTGATTTAGTCGTATGTTTGGGATCATTATCTTGCTGGAAAGTAAATCGTCAACCTAGATGAACTGATAGTTGTAGATTTTCATCAAGAATTTTGACATAGTCAGCAGATTTCATTCCTCCTCTTATTGCAATTAATTGTCCAGTCCCTCTTGAACTACGACAACCCCAAAACATCATCAATCCACCTCCATATTTTAATGTTGCCGGGTTCTTTGAGAGGAAAGCCTCATTTTTCTTGTGCCAAATCTTCTGTACATCATTATGTCCAAAAAGTTCAATTTTTGTTTCATCACTCCATAGTACTCGATCCCCAAAGCATTTTTCATTATCCAAGAACGTTTTGGCAAAATTAAACCGAGCAACAATGTGACATGTTTTGTGAAGAGGAATTTGTCGTGGTTGGTTTCCATGCAACCCATTTCTATTTAAACAACGTTGTATTGTGCGAGTACTTACACTGATACCCATCGTATCCAAACATTTGGTGATGTCTTTCAAAACATCTCTTGGGTTTATATTAACTTCGCGACACAGTTTTCGTGCAGTTCTCGATGACAATTTGAGTTTTCTTTCCTGCTCAGGCAAATTCTCTGTCGTGCCAAACTGTTTAAACTTCTTTATAACAGACTGTACCGTAGATCTAGGGATAGCTAACCGGTTTTAAATAGTGCTGTAACTATTTCCAGATTTGTGGGAGTGAATAATTGTCTGTCTGAAGTCAATGCTAAGCTTCTTTGTCTTCCCAATTGTGTTGTTAACGTAAGAATAACAATGGTGAAACTCTATGCATCACGTGATGTTCTTTGCTGAAATAATCACAAATATTCTACTGAATAAATAGTCTACACGGCTTCACCGATAAAATAATTATGTAAAATATTTATACTTACACGAATCAATCAATTTAAAACGATATTTTCTACTATACTAATAATTTTGTCTTTTCCTATTTTGCATAATTCGCCTGTCATTTTCTTTTTTTTTTTGCTTTTTTGTTTTTTTGCATTTAACCTATTGTTCTGAAAATTGAGTTTTATATTCCTTTTTTGTGCTTATTAACATAAAAATTCATGGCATCATTCGGTAATTAATTTCTGGGAAATGGATAAAAATATTAAAAATTGATTGGTGTACGAATAATTTCGTCGATGGCTGTAAGTTTTATTTAATAATGGTCTCAAAGGGCAAGATTAATAAATACAGAGAAAATTCAGATATGTCAAAGAAAATATATTTCTTTTAATTTATATAGTAAAAATTATTAAAATGATTATAGAAACATTGGCTCTTCATTGATCATTTTTATCAATGGTTTCACTTTGCACAATTACAATTTTCCATGGTCAACGCCAGTTTTAGAGAATATTATAATTGGTGAGAACGAATCTTCTATTTTATTATTAGTTATTTTTGTTAATCTCTTAATGCGCCTAATAAGATCTACGGTAAGAACAAATCTTCTATCCGTCACATAACTTTTATTACAGTCTATTGTAATAATTATTCTAATCATTAGTTATTAACTTAAGTCTAATATTGTAAGAACGAATCTTTATTCTAACTTTTTTACATTATTAGTTATTTATTTTATTATTAGTTATTGTTGTTAATCTTTATTGTGCCTAATAAGATCTACGGTAAGAACGAATCTTCTATCCGTCACATAACTTTTATTACAGTCTATTGTAATAATTGTTCTATTTTAGTATTACCTATTTTTGTTAATCTCTCAATGTGCCTAACAAGATCTACGATAAGAACGAATCTTCTATCCGTCACATAACATTTATTAGTCTATTGCAATAATTGTTCTATTTTATTATTAGTTATTGTT